AGAAATATTTTGGTGTTGGAGCCTCTCGGGGCCGCCCCGGGGCTGCCCCCGGGGCCGCAGCATCCCCGGCCCCGCGGGGGCTGAGCATCCTCCCCGTGGGGCCGAGCATCCTCCTCTTCCTCCGGGAGAACCCCCAGCCCCGGCATCCCCCCGCCCCAAGCCGGGGTCCCCGGGCATTGTCCCCTCGGGCACGTCCCTGGGAGGCGCTGGCAGCGCGGTCGGCGCCGGGGCAGGGCCGGGGCCGGGCTCACACGGGCCGGGAGCTCCGGGCGCTGGCGGGGGGACGGGACCCGGAGCCAGGCTCCGTGAGCAGGAAAAAATCCGTCAATGGATAAACAGCGTCCCCGGGCAGGCTCCTGGTATGTGGAGCACGGAGCCGCCTCCCTGCAGCTGGCGGGGAGCCCCCGGGCCCGCGGGCACCGGCCCGGCCTGGGCAGTGTCCTGAGCCCACCGTGGGCATCCTCCTGATCCCACCGTGGGCATCCTCCTGATCCCACCGTGGGCATCCTCCACATCACACCGTGGGCACTGCTGGAATGTCACCATGGGCATCATCCTCATCCCACCGTGGGCATCATCTTCATCCTACTGTAGGCACCACCCTCATCCCACCACTGGCACCATCCCCATCCCATCCTGGGCATCATCCTCATCCCACTCGGGCCCTCTCCTGCCCCACCCCAGGTGCCACCCGAGTCCTGCCGTTGATGCCACCCCCCATCCAATCCCACTCCTTGCCCTGCCATGGATCCCATCCCCATCCTGCCACATGTGCCACCCCCATCCCACCCTGGGGATTGTCACCATCCCACCCCATGCCCTGTCCCGCCCTGGGCACCATCCCCCCTCCCCACCCTGCTCCATGTGCCACCCCCATCCCACCCTGGGCACCATCCCCACTCCACCCCACCGCGTGGGTCCCCTTACCCCTCCCTCCCCGACGCCCCTGCCCCCTCGCTGTGCCCGGGTGCCGTTTGGGGGTGGCGTGGTGACACGGGGAGGTGGTGACCGGCCATCCCCGTCTCCTCCAGGCGTTCCCGCTGCCCTCGCTGCCCCGGAAGCAGCCCACGGTGCTGGTGGTGTGCGGGCCGGCGCAGAACGGGGCCATCGGGCTGGTGTGTGCCCGGCACCTCCGCAGCTTTGTGGGTACCTCCCTCCCCTCCTCCTCCTCCTCCTCCTCCTCCTCCTCCCCTTCATCCCCGAGCGATGCCGGACCCCGAGCCCGACCCCTCCCCTCCGCCCGCAGGACTACGAGCCCACCATCTTCTACCCCAAGCGCTCCCCGGACCCCCTGTACCGGGATTTCACGACGCAGTGCGAGAAGATGGACATCCCCTTCCTCTCCTACCTGCCCACCGAGGTCAGACCCCCCAGCCCCCTCAGTCCTCCCAGGCCCCAGCCCCTCACAGCCCCCCAGCCCCGCACAGCCTCCCAGCCCCGCACTCCCCGCCCGACAGCACCGAGTTTATTCCTCCCTTTTCCCTCCCCTTCTTCCCCCCCCGCCCGGTCCCGGCTCTGCTGGGAGCCCGGGGATGCCATGAAATCCAGCGGCGGCTGCCGCGGCCCCGCCAGCCACCGGCTCTGTTGTTTTTGGAAGCCTCCGGGCCGGGGCGGGAGGAATTTGACCCAAAATCGCTGCCCTGGCCGCGGCCGCGCGTCTCGGCGTGCCGGGCTCTGCCCCCCCTCCCTCCTCCTCACCTCGGGGGGGATTTTCTTGGCCGTAGCCGCTGGTTGAGTCCAGTTCTGCAGGAAAACGGGATCCCCGCGTGGGCCGGGGCCGGTCTCTGGGTGGGGGGTGACGCGGGGACCCCCCCGGGTGTGTGTGTCCCCCCCCCCCCAAAAGGTGCAGCTGATCAACGACGCCTACAACGCCGTGGTGGACGCCGTGCTGGGAGCCGAGGCGGAGGTGGGCGAGGGGAGGGAGCCCTGTGCCGCCATCCTGGCCACCCTCAAGCACATCCGCATCCCCATCGTCAGCCTGGATGTGCCCTCAGGTGCCCAGCCCCCCCCCCCCCCCGGGATGGGCCCCCCCCCCCCCCGACCCGCCGCTCCTCGCATTCCTCACCACCCCCCAATCCCCCCGCCCCCGGTGTTGTCACCGCGCCCTCCGCGGTGTCACCTCAGTGCCCGGGCACCCGCGGTGCCCTCCCAGGGTGGGGACATCCCCGGGGACCCCCCCCGCTGTCCCCCCCCAGCCTGGCAGCGCCCGCGGGGCGAGGCGGATCCGCTCCATGCGTTCGGGGCATCCGCGGTAAATAACAAACTCCCCGAACTGAGACATGATGTAATTTGAAAACACCCGGGCGTCTGGTGGCCAGGCCTGGAATTGTCATCACATCACCCCCCCCCCCCGGCGTGTCCCCCCCCCCCCCCCCCCGGGCGAAACCCGGGCCCCCGCGCCCCCGCTGGTGAATCCCCACCAAGAAAAACCCCGCGTGGAGCCAGCCCGGGGGCGGTGCCGCGGGGGGAACACGCTCCTCATCCTCCCCGTGCCCTCCCCACCCCTCACCGGCAACGCCTCGACCCCTGGGGTCACCCCTGAGCCCCTCTCTGTGTCCCCACAGGGTTGGAGGTGTTTTTGGGGGAGTCACTCCCTGAACCTCTCTCTGTGTTTCCACAGGGTGGGACGTGTCGAGCTTGATTCCCCTTTCTGTGTCTCAACTGTGTGGGCACCTCCCCTGGGGTCACCCCTTCTCCCCCTCCCCACAGGGTGGGAAGTGTCCCCTGGGGTCACCCCCGAGCCCCTCTCCCTGTCTCCTCTTCTCAGGATGGGACGTGTCCCCTGGGGTCACCTCCTCCCTGTGTGGGTGGGGATAGGGCAGGTCCCCTGGGGTCACCCCTTCTCCCTGTCCCCACAGGGTGGGAAGTGGCCCCTGGGGTCCCCCTGAGCCCTCTCCATGTCCCCACAGGGTGGGAAGTGGCCCCTAGGGTCCCCCCAAGCCCTCCCCGTGTCCCCACAGGGTGGGATGTGCCCCTGTGGTCACCCCCTCTCCGTGTGTCCGCAGGGTGGGACGCAGAGTCCGGGGGCAGTGGTGGGATCAACCCCGATGTCCTGGTGTCCCTGGCAGCCCCCAAGGAGTGTGCCCGGCGCTTCCTGGGCCGCCAGCACTTCGTGGCCGGGCGGTTCCTGCCCTACGACGTCCAGAAGAAGTTCGAGCTCAACCCCCCCGAGTACCCCGGCACCGAGTGCGTGGTGGCCCTGTGAGCCCCCCAAATAAAGTGCTTGGTGGCTCCTCCTCAGGGTCTGTGTGGGGTCAGGGTGAGGGGACGGTGCCATCCCGGTGGGGTTGGGGTTGGGGGTTGTGCTGGGACTCGGTTCCACACTCGGGGACTCGGCTCAACCCCCCCCGTGTGTCCCCCGGGAGCTGTTCCTGGGCACGGGCCTGGTGTGACCTCCCCTATGGGGACACGGGCAGCCGGGGGGGCCCCATGGGTGGCTGTGGGGTCCCTGGTGCTGCCACATCCCCCTGCAGCCCGAATCTCCCGGAAAACACCGGGAAAGGGTCGCTGGGGCAGCCCCCCCTCCACGGGGTGGTCATCACCAGTGACCAGTCACCGCTGGGGACTGTCCCCCCCCCCCCGCCCCAGCAGGGAGAGTGTTCGTGACCCCAGTGCAGCCCCTGGAGCTGCCTCCCCCTCGGGGGGCTCAGCGCAGCCGGAGCTCCGGGGAATGCAGGGAATGCGCCGGGATTTCCGCCGGTCGGGCCGAGGGAGGGGGCTGGGGGTGACCTGGGGCCGGGGGGGGGTGGTCCCCACGCCGCCAGCCCCTGTCACACGGGGTGTTTTGCATCCCGAAACCCCGGAGGGGCAGTGGGGAGCCGTGCCCGGTGCCAGCCCCACCCTGAGCTCTCTCGGCGCTCCCAGGGCACGGCAGCGGTGCCGGGGCAGCGCCCACCGAGCACCGAGACCCCCCCCGCCCTTCAGCGGTGCCAGGGCAGCGCTGGCACCCCCAGCTCATCCCCAGCCGCGGCAGCGCCGAGGCCGGGCTCGCTCTCGCCTCTTCCCCTTCCCTCCCTCCGCATTCCCAAGTGCATCCAATTTTAGCAGCTTTGCAAAAACAAACCCTCAAGTTTCCCGGGCTGGAGCGGCGGCACGGCCGGCTCGGGGAGGGCTCCTTCCCGCTTCCCACTTGGACACGGCTCCGGCCCCGCGTGCCAGGAGCGAGGGGGACAGGCCTCCTATAAAGCCCCGCGGAGCCGTTCCCGCTCCCAGTGCCGGCAGGAGCAGCCATGGGGGAGCTGGCGCTGGCACTGCTGGCGCTCGCCGCCCTGCACGGGGCAGGAGCCACAGGTAAGGGCGGCTCTGCCACCCGCCCGTGGCACGGGGACCACATTCCCGGGGGCTGGAGGTGGTGGAGAGGGGCAGGGTGGGGATGAGGAGGAGGATGGGGATGGGGATGGGGATGGGGCTGAGCGCTCGCCAGAGGTGTGCTGGGACTGGTGTGTGCTGGGACTGGTGTTGTGTGCTGGGACTGGTGGTGTGTGCTGGGACTGGTGGTGTGTGCCGGGGCCAGACGTGTGCCAGGGTGGTGGTGACAGCTGGGATGGTCACAGCTGGGATGGTCACAGCTGGATGGTCCCTCTGGCATCTGACACCTCGGTGATGCTCAGGGGGTTTTGTCCTCCCCTGGGCCGTGGCACTGGAGGGGAGGGGACATGTCCCACGCCGTGTCCCCGCCAGCCCTGTTGGCTCTGGCACTGGGTGGCTGAGCCCCAGGAAGGCCCAGCTGGCTCGGTGTGACACCGGGTTCGTGCCCTGGTGGGTGGAGTGTGGGCACCCGGGGTCATGTCCTTGTCCCACATCCCCCCTGGGGACAAGTTCATCCTAGGACAGCCGGGAGATCCCAGGCAGCGTTTTCCATGGACACCCCTGGGTTCATCCCTGGCTGCCAGGAGGCTGTGGCCTCTCCTCGGCCACCCTGGGCAGTGTCACCAGCTGTGACACCCCGTGGAGCTGATAAATCTCACCCCAAACCCCCTTTCTGGATGACTGTGGGGGCCTGGGGGGCTCAGGGTCCCCATTCCTGCTGGGACAAAGCTTTGCTTTGGTACCCATGGCTCAGCCAGGGACCCTCTGTGTGCCCCTGGAATGGGGTGCCCTGCTCTGGGGTTCTCCCACCCTTTGCATCCCCCAGAGCCCCTGGAGAATGACTCGGAGCCCGGGAAGAGCGGAACGATGGGAAAGCCCTGGAAAGCTGCGCCCAGCCCGGCAGAGCTGGACCTGGACACGGCAGGTACGGCTGTCCCTGAGCCCCCAGCAGACACCGTGTCCCCCCAGTGCCACACAAGGCAACGCCCACCCTGTGCCACCCACCCCGCGGGACCCCCAAACTCCCTTCTGCTCCCCAGCATTCCCACACCACATCCCTCCATCCCCACGTCCCCGGGATGTCCCCGGGTGTCACCCCAGGGTGCCCAGGGGGAGCGGGGGGCACTCAGGGCCGGCTCCATCCCAGGTAAAGGTGCCGAGTGGACGTCCTGGTTCAACATCGACCACCCCGGGGGGGACGGGGACCACGAGAGCCTGGAGGCCATTCGCTTCTACTACCGGGGCCGCGTCTGCGAGCGGCCCGTGGCCATCCAGGCCCGGACCACCGAGTGGGAGCTGCCCGAGGAGGTGGGCGAGGTGGTGCACGCCAGCCCCAAGAGGGGCTTTCGCTGCATCAACAAGGAGCAGCCTCCGGGCAAGACCTGCTCCAACTACCACATCCGCTTCCTCTGCCCGCTGGGTGAGTCCCCCCTGCATCCCACGTGCATCCCAAATGCATCCCACCTGTGTCCCACCTCCCCAAACCCCACTGACACCTCACAGGGGGTCCGCACCCATCGCTGTGCCCTCCCCTTGCTCATCACCCCCCTGCTCCCCCTCCCAGCGGGAGCTGCGGATCCCCCGGGGCAGCCACCCCTCGTGGTGCTGCTGGCGGGTCCCCAGTTAAGGCCTGTGCCCCTCCCCAGAGCACATCTACTGGTCCCACTGGTCCTCGTGGAGCCCCTGCTCGCGCCGGGCCTGCGGCAGCAGCGGCACCCAGACCCGCACCCGCCGCTGCCTCAGCGCCCGCCCCGCGGCCGCGCTCAAGGAGGTCAAGTGCAAGGGCAAAGCCGTGGAGCGCCGGCCCTGCAGCGCCGGGCCCTGCCCAGGTAGGGACCCCAAAACCCCCCTGCCAGCACCCACCTGCCCCCCGGGTGCTGCTCGTCCCCCGGTGACACCCACCTCGGGCTCTGCCGGTGTGAGGGATCCCGTGGAGACGTGAACCGGGGCTGCCCCCCTGTCTGGGGACCCTCCGTGCTTCACCACCCCAGACCGGGCGTCGAGGGGCCCGTGGTGCCCGATTCCCACGCGGTGTCCCCCCGCAGAGCCCACCTGGACGGAGTGGGGCTCCTGGGGCCCCTGTTCCCGCAGCTGCGGCAGCGCCGGGACGCGCGTCCGGCGCCGGAGCTGCGAGGCCGCCAAGAAGACGCTGTGCCCCGGCCGCCCCACCGAGGTGCAGAAATGTCCCCCCTCGCCCTGCCCAGGTACCGCCCTCGGGGACGTGGGGACCCCCTCCCCGGTGCCCGCCGGCCCCAGGGGTCTGAGCTCCGTGCCCCCGCAGCCTGCCCCGAGCACACGCTGCAGGGCACCGTCCTCACGGGCGCCGGGGCGGCGCTGCCAGACGCCAGGATCTACCTGGAGGGCTCCCCACCGGCGCTGCTGGGCCGCAGTGACGCCCACGGGCGCTTCACCGTCACCGCGGGGCTGTGCCAGGGCAGTGCCAACATCAGTGCCCACCACGAGGGCTTCACCCCGGCGCTGGCACCCGTCTCCTCCAACGGCACCGGCGCGGCCCCGGTGCTCCTGAGGCTGCAGCGGCTGGGTGAGCACGGTGGTGTGGGTGGGGGGCAGTGCACCCCTCGAGGGGTCACCCCAAAGGGTGCAGGGGGCGATCTGGGGGTGCCCATGGCTCGTTCTGCCTCCCCCCCCTCGCAGAGAAGCCCTACATGGTGCTGCACCCCAGGGCCCAGGTCCGGGAGGCCGGGCAGGACGTGACCTTCTGCTGCAAAGCCTCGGGCACCCCCGTGCCCAAGAAGTACTACTGGTGAGGCGGGCCGGGGGGGGGGCAGGGGAGGGCAGCGCCGGGCGCGTCCCCGCTGAGCCCGTCCCCGTGCCCGCAGGTACCATAACGGGACGCTGCTGGACAGGAAGGGGCAGCAGCCTGGTGGCCGCCTGGCACTGCAGGGGCTGGCACTGGAGCAGGCTGGCACCTACCACTGCAAGGCCAGCTCCGAGGCAGGTGCCATCCGCTCGGCGCCGGCACAGCTCACCGTGCTGGGTGAGAACGGGATGGGTCTCGCCGGCCACGGCGTCGCCCTGGGGTGGGGAGCACGCCCTGACCCCCCTGACCCCACTGACCCCACTAACCCCGACCCCTCCATGCCCCCAGCCCAGGGCCAGCAGAGCTGCCGCTCGGAGCCGGAGCCGAGCCTGGTGGAGCTGCCCAGCGAGTGCCCCCGGGACGCCGCCGGCTCCCGCCACTACAACGTGGGCCGGTGCCCTCCCTCCCCGTGCCCCGGCGGCCCCGGCGACCCCTCAGGCTGCGGGGGGGGCGTGGGGCACTGCTGTGGGGTGCGCAGGATGGAGCTGCGGGAGATCCCCTGCGCCGGCTCCCTGCTGCCCGTCAAGGTGGTGGCCGAGTGCGGCTGCGGGCCCTGCGCCCAGCCCCGCGTGCTGGTGCAGGGCCGGGTGACGGCGGCCGACACCGGGGAGCCCCTGCGCTTCGGGCAGATCTTCCTGGGCGGCAGGAAGGTGGGATTCACCGGCTACAAGGGCTCCTTCACCATCGAGGTGCCGCCGGACACGCGGCGCCTGGTGGCTCGCTTCGTGGACCGGCAGCAGCGGTTCCTGGACGCCGTCAAGGTCCTGCCCTTCGACCCCCGCGGGGGCAGCGTGTACCAGGAGGTGAAGGTGCTGCGGAAGAAGGAGCCGGTGGATCTGGACGGCAGCCGGGGCAATGCCATCCCTCTGGGCGAGGCGAGCGGCCAGGAGCCCATCGGGGAGCTCGTCCTTCCCGCCGGCGCCTTCCTGCGCCCCTCCGGGGAGGTTTTCAACGGCACGGTCAGAGCCAGCGTCACCTTCCTGGACCCCAGGGACGTGGCGACGGCCAGCGCCGCCTCCAGCGACCTCAGCTTCGCCGACGCCGAGGGCGAGATCGTCCCCCTGCGCACCTACGGCATGTTCTCCGTGGATTTCCGGGAGGGGGAGAGC